TGCAAGAAATGTTGGATTCCACCTCAGTTTATCCAAATTTTGTGCAACCTATATGTTTAAATTTGTGTGTTCACCAAAGGGAGGAGCCAGTAATTTCTACCTAATATCATTTTTCTCACAGCCTTGCTTTTCCGGAAGGCCTGTGGATACTGAATGTATTTCTCTGACATGAAATCGAACTTTTGTGGTCCCTTCTTGAATTCGCATTGTGTGTATTAGCATTTCAAGAATAGTGTAGTCATATGAAACTGAGTATTAGGAGAAATCCACAAGGTTACCAAAACAGAACAAGAATTATGCTTAGTTCAGTTCATTAAGCATGATTAAAGTCTAAGTATCAGAAATAGCTCATGAACTCTTCCAGTATAAATATGTAAGACAGCCCTAATCAGAAATAACTCCCCCCAAAATCTATCCACTAGAGAAGCTCAGTTACAATAACATCTCTGTGACTGTATGTGGTTATACCAAACAACATCATTATGTTTAAAATAAAATATGTGCATATGATTATGTACACATATCTGTGAAGTTGTGAGTTGCTTGGGGCCACTTGTAATGTAAGGCTGACAAAATAAAATCAACAAATGCATTGCATTAGATGTACTGCAAACCTTAGTCATGGCTTTAAATAAAATCCCAAAGAGGCTCTCTTCTTCAATGTATATAATTTCAGAATGAGCAGCGGTTGTGTTCTCCCTTATTGGAAATCCATTAATACAAGAGGTCCTAACCTGAAGTCCACAAACCTCCTATGGAAGGCTTTAGGGAGATGGGGAAAGGGTCTTATTTGAACAATATTTGTGTTTATGTACATACTTGTATATTTTCCCCTGGGGATAGTGTTCATAACCTTTCCACAGATTCTCAAAGGGGTATGTAATTCTCTAAGTTTGAGAAGCACTGCTCTAGGAGATAGCCACAGGACTAGACACAAAAACCACGGCTGGAAAGACCTTAAAACCCATCCAGTCTATGCTCTAACTTGGCATTTATAGCCAGTGTCCTCCAGACATTATTTCAATTGTCACAAATGGAGGCTACCAGCTAGAAGCTTCACTTCATTATAAAGTTCTTCTTGATCAATATATAAACTAACTTAATTTCCACTCATGCTTTTTCTAGTTCGGGGGTGGGGAGGCTCAAAAAGACAGCCATTTTGAATAACTGAAGCAAGTTTTGACTCTTCCCATATTTTCTCTATTTGACAGCTTGAACACTTCCATTTCCTTCTATCATTTCTCAAGAATACTTCAAAATAAGTGGTTTTTATGATTCATTGCATTGTATTTTCTATTTATAAGGCAGTTTTACTGGTACTTGATAGTGAAATAGAAGCAATGACTGAATGTCCCCTGACGGTAGGCTCCTCCAGAGGCAAGGATGGTATCTTAGTCTTCTCTGTCTTCTCCTTTCCTGACTCATGTTCAGCAGGCCTTGAATGCTTAGGAAACTAAACTGAGTTGTTCATTAGTCACTTTACCACCAATATTCCAACAGACAAATGGCAACTTCAAAACCTATCCTGCCTTCCTGAATAAAGGTATCCATTGGTAACTTTTTTCTTCTTTCCATCATTAACTCTTTTTCCATCTATGCCTTAAATTTGGACGCACTTTGGGTCCTCTTAACACTCTCTCTGTTTTCCTTAGACAATTCTTTCCACAACCATGGTTTGATTGATGCTACCACATTTTAGTGTCTTCTTTGGTCTCTAGACGTCTATTTCCAACTACCTGTTAAGCCATCCCCATGCAAAAACGTCCACCTCACTCAGCAAGTCCAAGGCTATGTTTTCCATGTTTTCACCAAACATCCTACTCATTCTTTTTTAGTCTCCATCCTGGTAGGTATCACACCATCCACCCATAGTATAAACCTGAGAGTCACACAAGCTCTTTCTCTCTCTTTCTACCTTTCCATTCAATCGGTTATAAAATCTTTTATTATTTTTTTTTAGTCGGGGTCTTATTCCATCGCCCAGTCAGGAGTACAGTGGCATACTCACAGCCACCCTAGAGTCGATGTGCTGGGCTCCAGCGATCCTGCTGCCTCAGTCTTCCAAGTAGCCAGAACTACAGGTGCACACTACCACACCTGGCTAATTTTTTTATTTATTGTAGAGACGAGGACTCACCATGTTGGTCTCACCAGGATGGTCTCGAACCCACGGACTCAGGCAATCCTCTTACCTTGACCTCCCAAAGTGCTGGAATTACAGGCTTGAGCCACTGCAACCCACCCAGTTATCAAATCTTATCCATTTTGACCCCTAAATAGTTATCCAATACATCTCCCATTTTCCATCTTAGTGACTGCTATTCTTATTAAGTCCTCATTGCTCCCCAGCTTTAAGAGTTAAATTTCACCAGAGTATAAGTCCCATAAAGTCAGATATTGTGTCAGTTTTGATCACCATTGCATCCTGAGTACCAAGCACAGTGCCCAGCACTTGGCTGTAACTCCGAAAGTCTGTTGAATGAATGAACTGCTCCCTACTGTCAATGGAATACAATGTGAGCTCCTTAGCCTGGTATTCAAAGCCCTTCACAACCTTCCCCAGAGATCATGCCTCTCCTTGTGCTCCAGCAACAGCCAATCACACATGATTT